CATACGTCGCGTTGCCCATGGAACTTTACATATATATATATATATATATATGACTTTGCATCTTTGTCAATTTCATTTCTCTTATCTTAATCAGGATAATTTATCGTGACAATTAGATCACCTTGTAAATTACAAAAGATGTATAAGTTAAAAAATTAAACATTCAGTCAATTAATAATAATATGTCTTTTTTTCTACTAATATTTTTTTCTAATATATATTTTATTGATTTTTTTCAAACTCATAAATATATGCGCATAATGATTGTTTATCCATTAATTTTCTTACTATGTTCATAAATTAAAAATCGCCACTTTCCTTACTTAAACATTCCTTAAACATTCCATTAGAACTTTCCGAGGTATGAAATATCTTTAGAAAGATAACAATCTATTTTTTCACTTTTCGATCGTAAAACTTTTATTGCATATTACTATTAAATTAACGCTTCCGCGTATTCGCACGAGCACACAGCTATCAACCACAGCTATCTGTCGCTTTAATGCGAGGCTCGCACGACATGTCCCATCGAAGCAACACGTCAAATCGTATTCCAGAGGAGTTGCAAATCCGTTTGAAATCGGATACCTAATCTCGCGAGAATGCATAGCTTTATATCATCACGTTGTACAGCTTCTCATATTACATTTTATCGAGAGTATTTCGTTCTTGTTCCAGAGTAAAAACAAGTCTTACAAGAAGAACTAGACGAATTGAAGATACGAAATTCAATACTGATCGAAATTTTATTCTTGTCAATTTCTAATTTTAAAAAACGAGAATTCTTGTTTATAAAAATATCAAATTTTTGTATATTCTTTTCAATATATATTTTTTTATTGAGATTTGTTTTAATTTTTAACTAAAAGGGTATTAGATTGAGAGAATTAGGATTGAAAAAAGCATAAAGATAAATAGACTGTTCAGAATTAAAAAATAAAGTAATTTTTCTTTTATTTCATATTTCAAGCTCATTCGTTAAATTAGTGCTAATATATTGATACATATCGATATTCACGCTTTTTTTATCTTCACATACATAGTTGTCTTCTCATGGCGTGCGATGATAGATTTCAGGAACAAAACTAGTATGAAATTGTTAGAAGTTTTTGATTTATATCAATGCCCTATACATTTAAAAATATATTATTATAATTGTTATAAAATATTATTATTTTTAATTACAATATATTTTATAATAATTATTAATATTACAAGTACATGAATATATATATATATATATATATATATATATATAATAATAGGTATAAAAATAAAATTTTATATGTTCTAAATATATACGTCAAGAACTTGTAATGTTTTTAAATTAGTTTTATCCTTGAAATGAGTCATCGCTACAAAAGAAATAGTTATGAAGTAAAAAGTACACAAAGGGCGATAGACGTGTGAGATCGATTGATATATTAGCATCTAGAGTTGAAAATCCTGGAAAGCATTGCTATCTTAAATAATGACAAAACAGGTCAGAATTAAAAAAAATAACAAAAAGAAATTCTGAAAATTTATAAAAAAGATATTATAATTATTCAATCACTTATTTAAAATTTATACCAAATAAATCTTTCCTAATCTCTTTTAATTTCATCATATTCTTTTGATATTTTACCACAAGAATATTTACAATCTCAATTAAATTGACAATCTTAAGAATTAATATGTCATTCTTAGATAGTTTCGACTCATAAATCTGTTCAACTTGATTAGTCTATGCGAATTGTTGATCGATTTAACACGGGACAGGAACTAGATGTATAACATACTTCGACAGATTTATCAGATGTAAATGATTGAGAGAGCTTTACTGTTCCAACCATTTCGATCTTCTACATTTTTTTTTATTATGCGATTGTATTATCATGTTGACATATATAGTATCCCGTATACTCGTATAATATCTCATACACAAGTACGTCACGCCGCAATAAATTAAAATTAACCGAGTGAAAACGGAGTTATAGTAATATATAGTAATGTGAGGTCACGGTTCAGGAAACATTGAAATTCTTTGAGAGGAAATTGCCATATTTGCTTATTTCTTCTAATTAATTTTCCGTCATTTTCATGCAGCTTGCTCAGAAAAAAATCAGTCTTAAATCAAGACATATATTCTCATGTATAAGCAAACATATTATAATTATAATTTTCTTGGAAAATTTTAGTCTTTATTTCATTGAATTTATAGTGATAGCAAGTATTACTTTGCTCAACTTAAAATTAAAAATCTTCTATATAAAGATTATAATATTTTTATTTGTATAAATTTATTTTTATTTGTATTGATGGAAGTATAAAAATATTTATCCATCAATACAAATTCAATCAAATCAAGACTCAAAAGTTTTCTAAGACAATTAATATTTTTATAAAAGTTTTCTAAGAAGATTATAATATTTTTGCTTATATAATGAGAATATCTGTTTTGATTTAAAACCAATTTTTTTGTGTGGTATAAAAAAATTCATATCGATTATATTATAATAATATTTATCGGTTAACATTAAAATAATTAAAATTGTATGTATAAAACTTAATATTTATATGCCGCTTTCCATTACACTACAAATTATCATTGTTTTTATAATTTCAAATTCTAAATACAACTTGTAATTTTTCTTAATGATGGATTTGAAATTGACAAAAATTTATCTTCTGTAAAATTAAATATTTAATCATATCGATATTGTTTTATATATTATTTACACGCAATTATAGAAAAATACTTTTTTTCATATCTTTTATGTAATAAAATATAAATATAATTGTCAAATGTGAAATAAAAAATATTTACTCTAGTATATTTTATTTCTTACTAAAAACTTACAGGAGTTTACAGTTTTTAAACTAAGATCTCCGTTGTAGAGCTCGAATTGCAACATATTTTTAAGAAGCATCAAGTTTTTATTCGGTGTTAATGAAAAAAACCTGTCGAATTTATTGATTTACTAAATAAAATCTTGTTTGTACAGGTGTTCCGGCGAGTCTTCGTTCATTCAAGCCGACGACGAGTGACGAAGTGATCCCGTGGGACTTTCTCTTGAAATTGGAATACAGTCTAACCGATTCTAATCCTAGACGACGTATTCACAGCGACATCAAAGAGGGTCTGGAGGATATCACTAGAGAGGTCATGGCCTCCATTAATTCCTATTCAAGGCAGCGCGGTCGTGTTGTCGAAGAACGGTCCGCTCTTTACGGATATAGAAGGGTAAATTCTTATGGAGCTGACACGATATTAGACCTTCTGTTGGTCTATCGGAAATATCGAGGCAGGAAAGTAACCCTTCCCGTTAGAAGACACGTTTATCTCCATCAACATTTTACTGGTACGAGCACTTATTTTTGTATAAATCATTCGCGCCTTTTATTACATGTATATACTACACGTACGCCCAATATTAATTTTAATAGACAAAATTATTATATAAAATTAATTAAAAATTTGTAAGTTAAGACTTTTTTTTACATATTAAATATATTATATTCTATCGAAATTCGGAGATTATAAAATCGCAATGTAAAAATTCGTGAAAAATGAAATAATAAAAGTGCATGTCGTTTTTTCTCAAGAATTAATTTCTTACGAATTTTTATGTTAAACTCATTATTCTCAAATATCAAAATACTCCGTACATATCTCATTGTATTAAATAATAATAATTTAAAATATATACATGTACATATTAAAATTTCTAAAAAAAATTTGTAATCATAAATTTTAATTCCAATCGCTGAAAAAATAATATAAATTAAGTATAATTTTGGAGTTTAAATCAAGTACATTTTATATGTAACAATTTTGCTTCAAATAAAAAATTTTAAAAAGTTTTAATGTTTCAGTATGTAATGAAATTTGTAATAATCTGTATCTGTAAAGATTTCTTATAAATATTATTGTAACAAAAAGATTTTTTAAAAACATTAGTTTAAATATAATAAACATTGTTAAATGTTCTTGCAGGATTAGAGATGCGTGAAACGGTAAATGGTATCGAGGTCCAACTTCGTCAAGAGTCAGACAAATCTATTCGCAGTTTACTCTACGGTGGCTTCCTGAATCTCAATTTCAATTCTCAAGAAGAAGATCCAGTACAAAGTAAAATCATTAATTTTATCTTACCTCTGTCGGGCCGCTTCGAGATCTTCCAAAGATTTCTCCAGAATTATGAGGATATCTGCTTGACTAGCGGCGAGAAGACGTCTCTACTCGTCGTGCTCTATCAGCATAAAAGCGAGAACACCTTCAACAAAACGATAGATCTGATCGAGCAATTCAGATACAAATATCGTAGTGCCAGCATAGAGATTCTACCGGTCACCGGGGACTTTTCCAGAGCTCGTGCCCTGGACTTGGGCGTGTCGAAAATGCAGGCCGACGATCTGATGCTGTTCATCGACGTGGACATCGTGTTCACGGAATCGGCATTGCACAGGATACGCCTGAATACGCTACCAGGTCGGAGAATATACTTTCCGATAGTCTTCAGCCAATATGATCCCAAAGTCGTTTATGGCGAGGCAAGGAAGCAAGACAAGTTTACCATAAACGAGCTCTCCGGGCACTGGAGACAATACGGTTTCGGAATCGTTTCCCTGTATAAGAGTGATTATCATACCGTGGGCGGTCTGGATCTCTCGATCCAAGGATGGGGCAAGGAGGATGTGGAGTTCTTCGAGAAGACGGTCAAGTCGGGCCTCGACGTTTTCAGAGCGGCGGACAGACATCTGGTGCACGTGTATCACGAGATAGAGTGCAGCAGGGAGCTGTCAAATCTTCAGTTTTCCATGTGTATGGGATCCAAGGCTGACACGTATGCCGGGGTCGAGACTTTAGCTAATACGATTTATGGTAATCCGGATATATTGCGCTTCGCCAAAGAGAGAAGACAGAGGAGAACGAATCCTGCTGGTTAACGGCAATGATTTGGCAAAATTGGGATTATTGGGAGTGATACAATTTTATTTGGGATCGTGAGGAGAAATTGTGAAAATATTTTTCTCATTACGCACTCGCGCCTCGATAGCGGCTTTAGTCACGCGAATGTAACGCTAATGAATGGATTATCCGAACTCTGAACTTTCGGTGCCAGAATATCTCGTTAGTCACACTGTTTGTAAATAAAAATGGCGTATGAATGCATCAATCGCAAATAATTTAGGAAACCAATACACTTTGATATTTTATTGTATATACCGAAGCTTTAATCGAGGATATAATTTTCAAGAATTTCATTTGCGAAATATGATTTGTATTATGCGTAACGATTTTCGAAGATAGATCTGGCGATCAACAGAGATCACCAAAGTCATTGCAGACATGCTAATAGAATTTTTATGTTAAGGAAGTATGTAATATGATTCTCTCGTTGTTATGTTTAATTCATGTGATGATATTATTCTCTACCGCCCAATGATCCTTTTCGATTGAGGCTAAAAACAAACAAATATCGTTCACTTTTACAGTTGCAGATGCTGACTATTCTATAAGAATCGAGTATAATGACATGTATTTTATAAAATCGTCAGCCTAGAATGTAAGTTTAAGTATTGTAAGTTAAATGTGATATTATCGTGCCTTAAAACGTTTCTCCGCTACTCTATGTACTGCCAATCACATTATTATGATTGTTCCGATGTAAATACTTCTAAATTGTCGCATTATGCGCTTTATATTTTGTATATTTACACGTAAAATGCTGTGTCTGCAATAATTGGAATAATACTCACGCTTTATTGAATAAAATTCATATATTAAGTAATAATATTATTAATATTTGTCACCCTTTTAAGCTGAAAAATATAAAATATAAGATATAAGCGAATCTCTTATTTGATAGACAATACAAAATGTAAAGTATCATTATATAATTATTATTTATCTTTCTATTTGTTTATTAATGTTTTTCATTTAATAGAACAGGAAGGGCAATACTCAATCTTAAAAGTCTAATAATTTTTCTTTTTATTGAATTTATATAAATACTCTACATATAAATTCTCGGAATCAATTGTTTATATCGCAAATTACGTGCTATTATTTTTAATAGACTTACGATGCAACAGTTTAAAACTATAAATCTATCAAATTTGAAATCAATTACCCTCCTTCTCTTCTACAGGAAATTCTTTCATTTTATTAACTATAATTTATTAAAGTGTTCTAACATCCTAATAAACATTTTATATATATTTTGAGAATATTTTAATTTTATCTACATGTTTTTGCAATTAAAAATAAAAAATAAATAAGCATTTCTTAAATCTCGATATAATTATTTATTTCTTGATATAAATATAATTTTTCTAATTATAATAATTTTCTTTTGTTATCTAAAAATAATGTTTACATCCATTAAACAAAATCTTTCTAAATATATTGAATTTTTGAAATTAGTTTATTATATTTGACTTCATAGAATTATTGTGATTATTTTATGAATACTTAGTAATTATTATTAAGCAATTAACTATTCAGCGAACTCATCTTGAGGAATTCTGGAGATTAGAATTTCTAGGAAACTCTGTAATCAGAAGTGCAGAAAAGGTCAAACTTCAAATTAAAAATAACTGTCACGTTATACGAATCATTATAAATGATAATTTATCGAGTTTTTTCGAGTAGCATTTAATGAAATGAACGAAAAACAAATAGAATTAGAAATGCAATAATGATAACTTGTAATATATGTTTGACAATGATAATAACATTATTTCTTGGAAAAGGATAATAACGTTATTTCTTGGAAAAGTAATGCGATTTTTCTTGTGCAGTGCATTGCACTAGAAAATATTTAAAACTGATTGATTGTGATTTTTGATAATAAATATTATATAATAATCCTTATCGCATTACTGCGCGAGTAAAACATATCATAACAAAACATATCATAACAAAAGTGTTAATTAGACTCAAATGATGCATATGATAATTCCGCGGCAAACAAATACCTATTGGTTGCAATTATTTCTTTCAAAGTCTGCAAAAGTTTATAAAAAAAATTACATTACATAAAAATAGATTGTCGATTAATAATATCAATATAAATTTAGACTTTACTTATTCTTTTTTCTTTGAGAAATTTAGTTGGTTTAGTTACATAAAGAAAAAAATAATATTGGATCAATTAAGAATAATTAAAAATAATTTTGTTATTGCAATAACAGTATTAATAAAACAAATATATATGCATTTATTTCATCACAACCATTATTGAATCAACAAAATTATTTTTAATTAACTTGATGCTTTTAATTAACTTGATTCAACATTTTTTTCTGTATAGAATAAATGTTTTAAATGTAATTTTAATAACAGATATCTTCATAAATTTATAATTTGTTTTCATTGTAAAGATCCCGAAAAATTTGCATGCATAAAGAATTTTCTTGATGCTTGAAAGAGAGCTGCATTGTTTTTCTCAATAGAGAGGTCGACAGCACTGAAATGCTTCTTCGATTGTGTTATCTTATGTTTATTTTAGATAATATTAATAATCCATTACAAATTACTTTTATCGACTACGAAATTCTCTGTGAAGGAAAGCCATGGATATCCCGCGGGTGTAATCAGTTAATCAGAGACAACAAGATTCGCGATGCGAGGCGCGACAACGGAAGGCGAAAAGGCGGTCTTATCGACTTGCGTTTTATTACGGCGTTGGTAGATAATAGCATATCGCTCAAGCTCAAGGTCATCTGCGATCGTTCGCGACATTAGCGGCAGACGGCGTATTTATAAGACAGAGTTCCGCGTGTGAATCCTCAGTGCAATCGTTGTCAACACCTTACGCCACATTACGTTCCGGAAGGAAAACGCGAGGTCATTTATTTACCTCAGCTTCGAATATCCGAGACAGGGATTTAATTAAAAATATCCTAAATAGTCGTTGAAATATTCTTATCTATCACTCAAATATTTTTATCTATATCAGCACGCTAACAATTAACTGGAGTTGTTAAAGTGTCAAATGAGACACAGTGAAGAATATCTTCATTATCTTTCAGTGTCTTCCTTATAAATCTTGAGATTATTACTGGATTACCCAGCGAGTTCAATTCTTCAGGACAACATCAATCGGCTTTTATGTTTTAAATTTGATTATCAATATTCGTCCAAGCGATTGTTTAATCAGCGATTCCAGTGATCGGGAAAGACGCTTCCTATACGTTTCTTGCCAGGTCACCTCGGCGAATAACCATTCTCGTCTTGAAGAATGAGGGAATCGGAATGGGTGATCCTGTTCGTCCTGATGGTCACAACTCTCCATTCGCCGGTGGAGGGGAAGATACTCACGCAATGCGAGGCTGCAAGAGAGTTGGAGCGGGCTAAGATCAGCAAGAGCTTAATCAGCAACTGGGTCTGCCTGATGCAAAGCGAAAGTGGAATGAACACGGCGCTGGTAACTGGTCCAAAGACAGCCTCCAGCTACTCTTACGGTATTCTTCAGATCAACAGTGTCAAATGGTGCACCAGAGGACGCACAGGTGGCATCTGCAATAAACGCTGTGAGGACTTCCTGAACGACAATATACAGGAGTCCATCGCGTGCGCCAAGAAGATCTTCGATCGAGAAGGATTCAAGGCGTGGGACGGATGGACGAAGAAGTGTAAAAACAAACCGCTGCCCAATGTATCGAACTGCACACGAAAGAAGAGAATGGTCACCGAGATCGAAACGGCCGAGATCGAAACCGATTCGATCGTTTAGTGATAGGTGATTGTGAAGTGTGCTATTTAGCACACTTGATTGCAATCAATGCGAAACTTGAATCGATTTTGCTGTTAAGAATGTTCAGAAATCTTTCGTAAAATTTAAATCTTGCACGTTAACTTACGTAAATTATTAATCAGACAGCGTATTTATTTTCGATTTTGTTAATATGTCGTACTCGACGAATAAAATACATCATACAAACAAAATATGCCGGTATGCTTCATAAATATGTATCTAAACCGATTGGATTGACGCCAGTTATGACGCAAGGGTTTACTGTCTTAAACCCACGTTGCACGACTTGGCAGACAACACCACGCGAAATGGTTTAGAAATTCCGACTATTAGAATCACAAAACCGTACGTGACAAGATTTTGCAGGCGTCTTCCCGATTTCATCTCTTTACACTCACGTTGCGTATGTGACATTTAAGAAGATTGCTTTTGCTTTCAAACTCAAGTGTCGTATATTTACGAAATTCAAAAATAAAATTATAAATTTAATATAAAATGTCTCTATGCCAAAGCAAAATAGAATACTTTTAAGAATCTCTTTAAAAGAAAGGATGATGAAAAGATACCATAACTTTATTGTAATTTTGTGCCATAAAAAATAATTTATAATTAAATAACGTAAATCTTAAATTAAACATAAATATATTATAATTATATATAAATATAAATTTAAATATTTTAATATAAATTTTAATTTTACAACTTGTTATTTACGTTTACGTACCTTGCAATAAATATTTACACATACATATGTATATATCTCAAAATAGCATTATTACATGTATAATATATATTAGTGTTATAAAAAATTTAATATTAAGTTTAATATTATTTATGTTAATATGATAAAATAAATAAAAATTATATCGATTGATTAATCCACTATCTTATTAAATTATAAATAGCAATTATATTTAATCTTTAAATATTTATGTATATTTAAATTTTAAATATTTTCAAAGTATTAGAATTTTCAAAATTTTTCGTAATTTAAAATTTTCTAATTTAAATAAAATATTAAAAAATTTTAAATTATCTTAAAAGAATTAGAATTAATGTTTGATTTCTTTGATGTAAAAACTATTTATTTATTTACGTATCTGAAATAAATTTAAAAAAATTAAAAATAGTTTTAATAATTTTAACATTGTATAGCAAAATACAAGCGATTAATTAACCAAACACTTGTATCCTCAGGTCAATTGTGCGAATATAATCGAGATATTGCAAAAATACAGTTGTTTTTATATTTGAATTTCAGAGAAGCGATCTCCAAGGCCACAAAATGTAAAAAACGTGAACGATTCTCATCTTTGCATAAAGCATTTTCTAATCGATATCTTCTTTTGAATTTATTAAAATCAACAGCCGATTTCGATTTCTCGTCATTTCTATAAAACATGTTAGTTTATTCTGATTTGTACGAGATAAATTCTATATCTATTTCTAAAATCTTTTCAGATGGTTACGTCAAACGACACATCGAAAAATTTGATTTCGTAAAATAGTTAGATAAACAATTTTAACGAGAGAAAATAAAATTTTGTTAGAAATACTAAGCCTAATAAAGAGAAAAGAGAATTATTTTGAGATTATTTATATATTTTGCGAATTATTAAATCCAAGAACACTATTTTTCTAATAAAATATTATATTTATTTTGAAACGTATTACAAATCGAGAGAAATTGCGATTACGATCTACGCGAGTACAGAATAAACTTTCTTAAGCATTCAGAAATCTCCTCCGTGTTTCTCTCTTTCTCCGTTGAAAATTGATTGAATCATCCGCTCAGATCCATACGTATGATGCATGCGAAGCGCGAAATGGTGAGCGTATGACCGAATTGCATAACGGAGCATTTGAGGAGTGAAAGATTCAAAGCTGGCGTCCTCCACAATCCGAGAGACCCCGCGGAATTTCGATGAAATAGACGACGCGTCGAGATTATTTTCCCGGATTTCTCGGCGATCTTCTTTCTCGCTACTACTAATTGCATAACGTTTTCGATTACCCTGTAAACTTTTGTAAGTTCCTAGTAAATCTGCGTTATTTGTAAGAGAATTCGAGTCCGGCGATGCGAGTCTCGAATTGACTCGAGGCCTGCCTTTCCAGGCGACCGCTGCCAATCGCTTAGCGGAGCGCTGGCGCGTTCGGCTCGAAACGATGCGCGCCACGAGGATGCACGTAAGTGCATTTTATCATAGCTCCCGGCTGCGGTGCATGCACCTTTCACTAGCGGAAGTGAACAGCTGAGAGGCAGACGCGTGAGAGCGACCCAGGTCATTATTCGCTCGTTATGGGCGACCGCTTCGTGCGAGCCGAGCCGCTTCATCGCGAAACGGGTACGCGCTCGAATCGCGCCGGCCGACCATTAACGTAGGTCGACTATCGATTGACTTATCGCCGGCTCTTGTCGTGCTTCTTTAATCATTCTTTCCGATGAAACAATAATTTTATCGCGCGTTCATCTCATTATTTGAAAAGCCTCTAAACGCCCATTTCTACCGATGTAAAGTAACTCTCGGTTTAACTTGCTTTTTTTTTTATTTTAAAAAAAGATAAAGAGCAGATTAAATCATTTTGGTTTTAGAAAACGGACATAACAGAGACACGACGAATGTTAAATTATTTTATTAAAATTCAAAGTTTAGTAACGCTCGATCGCGAAGGAACATGAGAGACTTCTTGATATTATTTCATCATTATTCAGGAAAGCCTGCTCGTTTGTTTGCTCGATCTTTTACTCTTAACTTTCTCGCTTGATTTGCGAAATTGAAAGATCTCTCCAGAATCTTCCGATAAGAACAAACGATGAGGTTAGCTTTGGTTAATCTCTTATCGATGCTTCATCGTGACTGCTGACGATCGTCGATCGTCGGGTTCATCGTGATTGAAAAAAATATTCATTAGCGATACGTTCGAGGAAGATTCGTGCGCCGACAAGAAAATTGCGATTCAACGTATAGAAGCGGGAGATCTTTTCAGTGCCGCGGCAATTAATTGTACAACGTGTCGGCGAAATATACGGATATGCGGACGTGCGAAGTAAAGGAACAGAGCGCGAAGAACACGTTGCGCTTTCTCAGCGACTTATGATTACGCAATTGCGCGAAGATGGATATACACACACACACACACACACACACACACACACACACACACACACACACACACACACACACACACACACACACACACACACACACTACACGC